TGTTAGACTACAGCTTCAATAATTCCTTGCCAGCATTACCAAATAAAGATGGCAGTCTTAATGGAAAAGAAAATGGTACTGTGTTCACATATCACGCTAAGCCAAGGTGTGACATTAATTTATTAGAGAGGTCACATTTGATTGTCTACATGTAACACCAAACTATAAATGTTAGTTTAGAAACTAGTCATGTGGTTCATACTTTGTGCTAAGCTAAAACCAAACAAACCACATTGTGGCTGGCTAGGGTTGCTATATCTGGTTTGCAAAAACCCAGTTGTTCACTACATGGCAGCAGAGTTAAGACTTTTCTGTATCTTTTTGCTACCATCTTGTGGTTGCCTGGATTTTTGCAGCCCAACTATGGCAGCCTAAGGCTTGGTGCAACGTGTAAACCTGGCTACTTTATTGTGAAACGTTCTAAGAATTTATTTTTATTTTTACATACATGTCATGCCTTTCCTGTGACTATTCAAGGCAGTACATGGGGGGGGGGGTAGTACAGACAGTGCTGTAAAATCTGAATTTACTTTCTACACAAAGCACAACTCCTCATTGTACCAATGCCCACTTCTCTAATTGGTGAGAAGTTCCAAGGATCCATCTCGGGTTGGATAAGCAAAGCAACAAAATTTTATTGAATCATATATAAATCATTTTATTGTAAGCTGTCCAGAGTCACGTTTGTGAGATGGGTGGCTATATAAATTGAATAAGAGCTGGAGGCAATGACAAGCCACTTCTGAAAAACCTTGCCAAGAAAACTGCAGGGACTAGTCCACGCAGTCGCAAAGAGTCAAAAACTGACTTGAAGGTGCACGCACACAAGTAACAGCTAGGCACAACACAAGGGGGAAGGAACAGCTGTTCCTACAAGGCAGCAATTTTCATATCCCACATCAGGTCCATGAAGAGGCTATGTGCCTCTTAGGAGCTTTCAGGAAATTCCATATTGGTTCTTTTCCCTGCTCCAAATAGCTGCTACTTCACATCACTCCTTAGGTGTGTGTGTGTGTGTGTGCGCGTGCACACACGCGCATAAGTTTGTTTCCAGGTTCTGGTGGGTATCTCATTCAGAGAGAATGCCTCCTATGTTGAGCAGCCCCACTTTTTCAGGAACTAGCTCTCTTCACGTTTATAAAAATAAAGTATGGAAGGTAACAAAAATGTGCTCTCATTGTCTAGTATTTGCTGGTAGAGAATACTGAGTTCATCTGCAGATGCAGTTACAAAATCCCATTGGAGCAGAACCACCGTACTGAATGAAGTAGGTTTATTCCAACAAATACAGCTATCCCTTCTTTTCAGTTCTCTCCATCAACATAGGAAGACAGGATGGGGGTGATGTGTCAACTTCATTGTCTTCCCTACGTTCTTTAAACAAACAGCTCAAGATGAAGCAGTTTCTCACAAGATCATCACTCATAAGAGCTGGAAGAAAGACAAAAGAGGAAGCAGTGGTGATTCATGCTTGATGTTCCTGTTCAAGATACCTTTGTGGTTATCCCACTAGCCCCACAATATTCTCTGGCTTGGGAAGGTAATAGATGGGAACTCTTAAGCATGGAAGAGTTCCCATGCTTCACAATCCCCACTTGAGTCTTTCATGGTCTCCAGTGGAGTGATTCTAGGAGTAACTAATCCCTCTGAGATAACAAATATCTCATTTATCATCAGAGTGCAAAAGGAGCAAAAGAAGCATAATGTCCTAAGAAGGCACTTGTATTCAGTGTCATTCAAATTGATTGGGGTACAAATGAGGGTCATTTGATCTGCATTTCCCCTTTTTGCCTGGATGACATTAAAAATGACTAATGGGGTGAAAAGACTACTCCACAGCTTGCTTGTTTGCTTGCTTATTACTAGAAGTATGCTAATGGCATGTTCCAAATTTGCTACTTTAGCATCAAAACAAAATCAAAGGAATAATTTTCCAGGAAGTAATTTCAGTACATTTTAGAAGAATGTCACAGGCATTCCTGATGAATTCAGGGATGAAAATTCTGTTTGCATCCTGCCCACCGCCCCTTTTGTCTGATGTTTGTGAGCAATGGTGCCGAGCAGCCTTACTCACCATGGCCAATGGTGAGGATGCTAAGAGTTATACTTCTGCAACAGTGAGAAGGCCACATGATCCCCATCCTCTAGTTAGGTGATATATACGCTACAGGCCTCTACTACCAAGGTGAGCAAACTGCAGACCGTGCAGGTCTCTCTCAAGTCTTTTTTGTGGAGCCCTTGAAGATTGTGTCACTGAATTTAATCAGCAGAGTGTAAGATAATTATAATGCAATTTTCAACAAAACGCAGTAAAATAAGCATGTTTGGCTTCTCCATTAATATGACAGACCTGTAAACCTATTACAAAACAGAACAAAAAACGAAGAGAGGAATTCCAGACTACACACCATTTGAAAACACTGCTTCATTATCATACTTCTTTTGTCTTTCCATGCTGTAAAGTATCTAAGGTTGTGTGAACACAGGAAGCTATGGTTTATTCCTGTTGTGTACATTGGATATACCTCTTGATTGTTGAGATATGAACAGTGACATGTTGACTTGCAAGATAGCTTCTAGTTTAGAGATCCTAGCTGGATGAAATACTCTGAAAATGCTTGTTTGGGCTTTGGTTGAGCTTCTGACTACATCTGCCAAAATGTGCAAAAAGTGTCAGGTACTGATTGTCCATATAATTAGCAAAGAATACTGCTTGTGTCATGCGTTCAGTTAAGGCCATTTCCATATTGATATAAGTCTCTATATGACTTACAGAGACTTCATAGCATCACTAAGCCACTGCTGAAGTCCTATCTGTATTACTGTTATTTTGGCACAGTGATGGTTGGAAGACACCAGAATAGTGCAGAAATGACCTAAGGATGGAAACATAGTCAGCACTTTATCTATCTTGCTAACAAATATTATGTGAAAGTCTTGATTGACCAAAGCCATGATGGGCAGCAGAGGTCAATATTATGGTCACATTAAATGATGACCATGACACATGGAAGACTGGAACTTGGAATGTAAGAAGAGTAGATGGCAAAGAGCATGAATTAATGAAATTAAATTAAATTAAAATATGTGTCTTTGATACTAAAAGAAAGGGAAAAGATATAACCTGAATGAAGGTCATCTAATATTTTGGAGTGGAATTGAGAAATACATGTCAGATAAGCTTTCCAATGAATTCACAAATTTGAAAATGTCCTTCCATTAATAACATTATATAAAATTTAAAAAATTTTTAAAAAATTAAATTTATAAAAATCTCTTCAAATTTATTTGTCTAATTTATATAGCCACCCATCTCACAAAGCCAATGACTCTGGGTGGCATACAACAGAACTACAATTAATAAATACCTAAAACATTATCATTATTAATTATTTAAAAACATTAAAAACTATAAAAAAATAGACATGGAGATGTTAATAATAATTAACCCCCCATACCCTGAGGTCCCCAGGCCTGCTGATGTACCCAAGTCTTGAGCGACCTTGAGGGTCAGACGTGATGAGGCCAAACTCACCTCAAGGGGGAGAAGATTCCACAATGTGGGCACCACAGCAGAAAAGGCCCACTGCCTAGGACCTGCCAAATGTAGCTCCCTAAACAACAGAACCCATAACACGCCCACTCTGCTGGATCTGGTGGGAGGGGCAGATGAAATTGGGGGGAGGCAGTCCCTCAAATTGCCTTATATATTGACTGTTAGTTTTTAAATCATTACTCTTCAAGGCATCACACTGTTCTTGTAACAAGAGGTGGGATGGTTTTCCATTTCCATACAGTGATTTCTACAATAAGTGCACTGAAAACCACTCACTGAGGACAGTTTGCAGTACAGATGATCTAAGGTGGCAGTTACTGAAATGGCTTAAGACTACTTCCAGTTAACAATTGTCTGCATCTTGAACATTAAAGGTATATTAAAGCTATATCAGCGCTGCTATTAACCATACCTCCTGAACTTCCTTCATCAGTGACTTCAGATTCTGCTTAGGTCAAAACCAAAACTACGTTAAAGTATTTATACATGAATTAAAAATGAGTCCATCATGAAATATTGATATTTACAATTGTGCAGTCAAGTGTGTTAAACAGCCCTACTGGATCATGCCGAAGGCTCATCTAGTCCAGAATACATTGTTACACAGTTGTCAGCCAGATGCATTCAGGTAATACCCTAAGATGGACAGGAGGGTAGTTACTCTCCTCTAGTGCTGTTTCCAAGCCACTGATAATGTATACATTAGCAGCCATTAACAAATTGAGCCTTCCTCTTTTCCTATGCATATTTAGTATTTTAAAGAATGTTTTTTCTGCTTGTCAGCTAAAAATAAGATTTCAGGTTTAGAAAATTTCTCCGTGGCTGAGAAAGGATGTGAGACAGGAGTCCTCAATTCCAGAAGCAGAAATTCATTTTTCTCTATCTTAAAATACACCTTTAAGAACCTCATTTAAAAATAACATTTTCTTCTCTGGCTCATGTAAAAGTCAGCATGCATTTTGGGACAGAAGAAAGATTTATATTATTAAACACTACCTTTCTTATAGCATTGGAAAACGCCAAGCCAATTGCAAAACTGCATTGGAAATAGAACAAAGAGAAGCTTATAAGAAGAGAGAGCAATACTGTATGGAAGAACAATGTAAACATTTCAGAGGCAGATTGTTTTCATTCCTTTTAAAATACCCCACTTTTGTTTCCCCAACTCAAAACCATTCCCACCAGGAGTGGTCACTCTCAGTTTGCACCAGAACAAGCCTTTGCTCAACATAAAAATTCAACTGTGTGTCCCCAAAAATGAGATGAGGAAAACTTTTAAGGTATTTTATCTTTACAGAAGGCAGAGAACATTTGGGACAGGTCTTTCTTCCAAACCTGCACTATATATATTTTTATAGATATATGAGACCAGAAAGACAAAGAAGATAGTCTCCATTAAAGTTTTAAAAGCAATATTTTGAATTTTTTTTTTTCCAATTGGAGGCCTGTGAATGGGTGGGTGGGCAAAATATACCTTTAATTTTCTAAATCTCTTTTTCAGTCACCTCAGATTCTAGGACATCAGTCATGTATAATTGTGGTTAGCTTGTCTTTTGAAAAATACAACCACAAGGTAATAACCACTCCTCAACCTTATGAAAGAAAAACAATTGGGAAGTTAATTCAGAAAAGCCAGCTGTGGTTTTCTTATTAAGTGAAAGAAACCTTTGGAACAGCCATCCAAATCCTATGCTTATTGGGGTCCATAGACATAGTTACACCTCTGGAGGCCTACAAGGAACACAGGTCCAGTGTGGGTTGGTAGAGATGTTTTTTGACTTCCCATTCTAGGGATGAGAGAATTAATCAAGTCATCCAGCTGGCTTCTGTGCCTAACAGAGTACTAGAGTTTACACTCTTTTTACTGTTTATAACATCTTTGTTCTACTTCTGTTGTGACTCCTATGTCAAGGGAAATGCCCTTTGAACAGCTGATAGTATGGAAATCCCAGATACATTACCATCCTTTCCATCTCCCAATCCTTCATCTAGGAACTTGAAATCAACCCATGATTTTTTAAGATTGTCCCATTTGCAAATCATTCTAACAATGAAATGCATTGAGCATTGCTGTATCTTTATGTTTGTGAGTCAAGGACTCCTAGAGAACACCATGAGCAATCAGTACTCAATGTCTCTCACTCTTGACTGATAGTTGAGCACAAAGAACATCAATCCAGTGATTTTTGGTACTATAATAGCATGCCAATAACTTTTCAACTGGATGTTTTTCCCAATAGCTATGATCTTAGCAGTATGTTGCTGTGCTAGGAAAACCAGGGGATAAATAAATTTTAAATAACACACACAGTAAGAGACACTGGAAGCTCCAACAAGATGCTGAATCTCAGTGAGGATGGTGGTTAGAAATTACATTGTAGCTGCTTTCTGGTGGTTGCCAAGAATTGGGGTAAGGCAAAATGGCTCTCCAGTGGGAAAATACGCCACCCACAAGGCTGTTAGAACTACAGTAGGAACTTGACATAAATTGGAAACCCCACAATTCTAAGTGAGTTCAATTACACATTTTGTTTTCAATAAACTGGGTCAGAGTCAGAAGCAACTTGTTGTGAGACCAAGGAGGCCCATCCAGGTTGAAAAAATAAAACAGTCTGGTAGAATGACAATTATTGCACTTGGGTAGGAAAATTGGAACTCATATACCTCCTGGTATGTTATTCTGAAGACTGAATGCTGAACTGCTGTGCCACACTTGCTGAATTCATTTGAGAAGCATCTGTACCAAACAGATTAGATGAAGTTCCTCACCTCCAGTGGACCTGCATGTACGTGTAAAATTGGCAAGATAAAATCAATTTCACAGGAAATTATGCTGTTTAAAATAGTCCAGCTGGAGGTTATCTCTGGAGAGATCGCAAACAGAGCTTGAGCTCTGCACAAGCAACGTAAGTTTGTAGCAAGAAAAGCTAACTCTGTGATAGGAATATATCATGCTCCAACAGAAACACTATTAAGTCAGTCTTGCATTAACATACAAAATTCAGTACTGATTCCAGACCCTAACCCCATCAAGGGACATGTTTTATATATCAACACCATTGTTCCCAAATACCCCATTATGACATGTACTGATCTGACAATCTGAAACAGCAGTGGTGAAGAAAGAATAGAGCATTAGGCTTATCATATAGGTACCATTTCCTTGCTCCTGAAATGTGCCAGTAAAGTATCTTTCATATCTTCCTCATGAGAGTAAAATATGCATTTTAATTTTTCTTCAGCTTTATTTAATAAAACAGAACAGAGAAAAAAATATTTAAAAAGAAAAATGCAATAACAAGATAAATTATGGGTATAAAGGCTTCTCATGCAAATATAAATATAAATATATGGACTTTTTTTAACCTAAATTTCAATAAAAGAAATATTTTGACTAAAGTATTTCAAGGAAATATTTCATTGTAATTGTCCATGCATAATCATAGGGCACTGATTCAAAGATGGAAATAACATCAGGTCTTCAACCTGTTGAGTAATTGGAACCATAAATTTGTCTTTCCAATGTTGAAGAGCTAAGCTCTTGGCAATAATAAGGTCATGGAGAATCCATGGAGAATCATGGAGAAAATCTATCTATGTGGTTGTTAAGAGTTGAAAACGACTTGATGGCACATAATCAATCAAATCCATTCCATTGTCCAGCTGTCAATTTCCATGTAATAGATATGAAGTTCAAAAGAATGTGTGCATCCAAATATATATGCAAAACTTTGTTTCAAAGTCAAATTAATGCATTCTTTCCAGAGCATAATAACTTTAGGACATTGCAAAAACATTTTTAATGTTATTTTGATTGCATCTCCAACAACACAATGATTTACTTGTTTCCTTTTCTGCAGAAATACAATGGAGTCCATTAAGTTCAAAATATTTTTCTGTATAAGCCATAATCTAAACTCTAATGAGGTAAATTAAAACAAAAACAAAAATGGTTTCTTTAATCAATTCTGAGATTTGGATTGGCTCCACAGCATCAATTTAGCATGAGTAAAAAGGATCAAAATACATTTCCCCAAAAATAATATAAATTTTCAAATCAGTATCATAATAACAGCAGATATAGCAAATATATTATAATTTGAACTCAAAACAATTAGCTAAAGCTGTTTCATACAAATCTTCCAAAAGGGCTCAGAAAGAATTTGAAGTGAAGATATCAGAAATTTGATATTACTCAGAAGATGTGCATAGCAGTATAATTCAAGATTTAGAAAACTGAACCCCCCGTCTTTAAGTGACAACTGAATATTTTTCAAAAATATTTTTTTGGAATTGAAGAACCCCATAGAAACTTAATCAATTGGTATATTAAGTTTTTAAAAATATTTTCCAGGTTTTCATATGTATATATGCATACATAGCTCATACAGAGATATGTGAATACAAACCTTTGAAGTACTACCATTATCCTTGCTTTTGTATTTTGGCACCTGTCTACTGTCTCAAACTATTTGGGTATTCAGTGTACTTATGGGTAGGCTTCTAATCTTGGTTAATAGTGGTAAAGTTCTGGAAAGGACTTCATTGATATTGCACATAGGGTGCTTTCTTTCATGGAATTAAGGTACAGTATGTAACCCACAGTTGGGTCTCTGCTTAAACACTAAATGAACATGTGAAGGAAAATGATTACTGCAATGTTTTTATCAATACTAACAAATATTTTCAGAGGTTATTCCAACTTGGGGGCTAAGTAGGAGAACCCCCAAATAGCTTTGAGCAAGTATGCTATTGTGAATATAAGCATGGAACAGTTAGCTTTTGGAGTATTCCCCCCCCCCCCCCCAATCTTTCAGATGCATTTGGAGCTACAACTTGAGAATTCCTAGTCAGGAACAGTAACTGTACTGATTTGCTCTCCACCTACCGCCACTTACCACTGGAAATTTCCAGTAGAGTATTCATGAACACCCCAGTTTGCACTTGGCCTTCTCCAGGTTCTCTCTCTCTCTACCAAGTATCAGACTCAAATCCATACTCATTCAAGAATCAAACAGTCATAATTGTTCTGCCAAGCTGACCTCACAGGATGGTTGTGAAGATTAAAACAGGAACGGAAAGGGTTATGTACACAGATCTGTGGCTGGAAATATTACAATCAATAAATTCCATCATACATCTAGAACAATCTTTAAGAACTTCAGAGTTTGTCATTAGTCACAAAAATATGGTCTAATACCCTGCAAAAGTTAGAGCTAAAGGATCTTGTTCACAATGGAGTCCATTCTGTCTTCACACAGAGGGAACTGGTTATCTCCCCTCAGCCCCACCCTCACTCCCACCCTCTGAAGGTCTTTTCCAGCGATAAGGTTTCCTTTCTGAGTAGGATTCGCACTTTTCAAGGCCCTCTACTGGAAAAAAGTGAAAGCAATGCCAGCATTCTCAACTTTTCATAACTGTTCCTTGATAACTTACTTATCTGAAATATATGCAGACAGATAACAATACTTTGTATTATTCTTATAGTGAGAAAAATGGAGCATCATCCCACAGCTTCTGAGAGCTATCCACTGAACATCAGTTTCTACAGCTGTTTCTGGTATTTCTGGCCAGCCCAGTGGAATCCAATACTTACCTTGTTGCAACATGATTCTGGAATGCCTTCTAGATAAGCCCTCACATTTCCCAAGGCTCTCTGAACACTTCATTGCCTTTTGTTCAATAAATCAAAGTAAAAAATCAAAAAAGTGTAACAGGCTGTCAAAATTAAAACAACTGTAAAAAAATAGCTGTCCGGCTTGCTTGAATACATCCAGTGAAAATGAACTCCACCACCTTCCTTGATTATTGGTCCTTTAAATTTCACCCAGTTATTTTCAGTCCATTTCAATTTCTTATCAAGTTCTGAAATTTATTTCTGTCTTCTACGGTATTAGATATCCCACTCAGTTTTCTGTCAGCTGCAAATATCTTGAGCATTCCCTTTTCTCTTCATCCAAATGATCAATAAAAATGCTGATTCAGAACTGAACCTTGTGCCCCCCCCACATAGTACCTCATTCCAATTTGATAAGCATTCTTTGAGTATGATTCTGAACCAACTTTGTACCTGTTAATAATTACTTAGCTAGCTTTTAAATTAGAAAGTAGTGGATACTTTGTCAAATGCCTTGCTAAAACCAAGATTTTTAAGAGTAGGACCCACAATCTACTACAGATGTTACCAAACTGACATATGCTATATTCAGGTGGTTACTACCACAATGGAACACACTCTGTATGCTGACCAAAGCAAAAATTCAACTATTGCACCTTTGTCTAAATATCTTGTATATGTGAAATCATAAATCTGTATTTCATCTTGATTAGGAGCACTGTATATAAATCATTACATAAACTACATTTAGGTAACTGATGACCCTTAACCCTTTTTCAATCTCATGATTGCCTAGATCATGCCACCAAAACATCACAGTAAATCAGTGGACACAAGCAGTGCGATTTTCTTTTTTGCTAGCATGAAACAAGGTGTGTTAAGTGTTATAAAACAGACCTAGTACAGTGGTACCTCTAGTTACGAACTTAATCTGTTCCTTGACTCTGGTTGCAACTCGAGTTGGTCTCAAGTCGAGGTAAAGTTTCCCATAAGGTTCAATGTAAATCCGGTTAATCCGTTCCGCCCTCCAAATTTGGTCGCACCACAAGGCAAATTTCCCCATAAGGTTCAATGTAAATATGGCTAATCCACCCTCCGAATTTGGTCGCACCCTGAGGTAAATTTCCCCCATAAGGTTCAATGTAAATATGGCTAATCCACCCTCCGAATTTGGTCGCACCCTGAGGTAAATTTCCCCCATAAGGTTCAATGTAAATACGGCTAATCCGCCCTCCGAATTTGCAACTCGAGTTGGTCTCAAGTCGAGGTAAAGTTTCCCATAAGGTTCAATGTAAATCCGGTTAATCCGTTCCGCCCTCCAAATTTGGTCGCACCACAAGGCAAATTTCCCCATAAGGTACAATGTAAATACGGCTAATCCACCCTCCGAATTTGATCGCACCCCGAGGTAAATTTCCCCCATAAGGTTCAATGTAAATACGGCTAAACAGTTCTGAAACATATGCATTTTATTTTTAAACCTCAAAAACCTTCCAAATGCCACAAAAACCTCCCAAACGCCACAAAACACACCACAAGCCTCACCGAATGTCTCCTTGCTACCACGATCTCGCCCACAGGAAGCCGCGACTGTGTGGCAGCAGGGAAAATGGCCACGGATCTGGTTCGTAAGTAGAGGCGGAGTTCGCAAGTAGAGGTAAATTTTTTGGGGCGGGGCTGGTGGGATCTTG